AGATGTGCCCCCGGAGCTGGATAAACCGGGAACGAGGAGCTTTACTGCACCTGTTCCGTCGGGAACAGAACAGACCCAATTTTCCTGCAGCATCAACTGAGGAATTTTTCACAGGCACCATAATCCACCAGAAAATCACCTTAAGCAGCATCTACTCCATGAAAGCAGCCTTGAGAAATCTGTCCCTCCATCCGGGGTCTCATCCAAGCCCACCACGGCCAAGCCGTGTTTGCTAAACGAGGGCAGCTGAGAAATGATTAACGAAGGAATTCCAGACCTGGGAATGAGCTGGTTGCCGGCAGAAAAAAACCCTCAGACGTTGTTTTGCCCCTGCTCAGGTCTCCAAAGCAGCAATCCCAAAAGTTCCTTTGAAAACAAGAGGGTCCATAACTCACTCCCTGCTTCCAAAGGCTTCCCGGGATCATTCCCAGCTCCCCAATTTTACACCGTCCCATTTGAACAGGTTAAAACTGCTTGTGTTGGATCAAGCCTGGAATTTGGTCCTCTTCATCTAACTCATTTATTATTTCTTTTCCCCCCAAATCTTCCTTTTTCAAGGATCATTTTTCTCAGGCCAACTGAGATCAGTGGCAAACACCTGGTTATCGTAAATAGGGTTTGGCTTTTCTTCATCCAGACCCACCTCAAAACCAGGATGCTCAACTGAAAAAAGGGGGAAACCTGAAAATTTGGGGTAGATTGTTTTTATATTTGAATTACAAACGACTCATTTTCAGTGTTGATAATAGTAATAATATTAATAATAATAAAAAAAAGAGCCCCTTTGACTAAACACTGCCTGTTTCACCAGGGTTTTGGTAACTGGAAGACAACGAGAATGTAATGTTTAGGACTTGTTTTGCATGTCTCCACATAGATGAGTCAGTCACACAGAACAGAAGCTTGTTAAAAAAAAAAACAGATGACGGGTGCAACAATTATTTCCGTGGGTTTTTATTTCTTTTAATAGAAAATTCTAATATAAAACAACAAACGTTTTCAGTTTGCCTTGTTTACAAAAATATTATATATTTCTTTTTTTTTTTATATTTCTGACATAACTAAACGCACTATTCAATAAAAATATTCTTCCGTCAGCTAAATTCTCTTTTAAAAAAAAAATTAATAAAAAAGTTATATAAATAATGGTTGCACCCCCCCACCCCCAAAAACTGATCTCACAAGTCTTGCTGGATCAGCTGAGGAGAACCAACACTTTTTTGGGGGGGACAGGGGGTGGAAGGGGGTCAGAGATATCCCCTCCACCCACCTGCTCCTTCTCCAGTTACATCTGAGCAAAAACCTGTTTCTCTGGGGGGGGCAAGAAAAAGGGGGAAAAGTTGCTTTGCACTTTTTTTTCTTTTTTTTTTTTTTTTAATATATCTATGAAATAACACCAGGGACCCAGATCCACTCGCGTAGAAGTAATACAAAAAAAAAAAAAAAAAAAAAAAAAAAGGAGCAATTCCACTGAATTGCACTGGTGGGGGTGAGGGGGGTGGGGTGGAATCACCTCTCTGGAAAAATCCAGTTGAATCCAGCTGGAATAAAAAGAAGGTTTTCCAGGATGCTCCCCAATGTTTGACGAGGATTCCGTGTCTCTTTTACAGGAGCAGCACAAGCAGGAGCTGCTCCTCCAGGAGTTCCTTCAACTCCCCCCACACCTCACTGACCCCCAGCAAACCCGCCGAGCACTCGGGAGGCTTCCGAGGTGCTTTTACATCTTCTCTTGTCTCATCCCTACGGGATTTTTCCAAAACAAGGCTTTTCTCCCCAACCCCCTCCAATCCATTCTTTCCTCGAGGATAAGGCAAACATTGGAAAACGCCGGAATTAAACACCCCCCTGCCCTAAACACACCCAACGTGGTGCAGGGTTGGGGCTGGGGGGGGGGGAGAGAAGAAAAAATAACCCACATAATGTTTTTTTACCACCCTAGGTCAAAAGGCCAAGAAGACAAAGTTCTCCTGATTTCAGAGCTGTTAGTATATTTTATACACTGCCTATACATTTAACACATGTGCCTCGCTACTGTTTTAGTCATTTATAATTATTTTTTTCTTTTTTTTTTTTTAAACCACAGGAGAATAAACCTCGCTATTTACAATATACAACAGGCAATATAACAACATTAACATAAATACAATTTTGTTGGGTTTGTTTTTGTTTTTGTTTTTTTTTT